ATGGAAAAGAAATAAAAGAAGCATTTGAAGAAGCTGATAAAGAGATACCAAATATTTCAATTTCACGTAAAACAAATCCTGATGCTATATATACAAGTAGAGCATTTGCGTTTAAAAATTTGACAAAACCAATTAATTCGTCTTTTGTTTCTTCATATCTTGAAAAGGGTGAGAATAATCTATGTACTTTTATAAATTTTTTCATTTGCGATGTTAAGGATGGTTGCTAATTTCATTATTAATAATTTTCAAGATTCTAAATTAGTTGATTTAGAAATTCCTTAGCTCATTGCAATTACGTTGTAAGGTAATATTGATATCCAATCCATGATTGATTCTTTATTATTAAACAAAATAATGTTTATTATATAATTTACATCAATAATTGAAGGTTTTGATATTTCTGGTTTAAATTAAATCTTTGCTCATAAGAAAGTTTATAACCTAATCGGATTGTTTCATTACATTATCATAATTTTTGGCTCATGAAATCTCTATAACCTATTTTAACGATAGCACATAATTGTATCTTTAGAAATTTAGACTTTACACCTGATGATTATGTAAAAATTTGTATTTTTAAATTTGTTTTATTAAATTAACATATATAACTTAGTGTTAAAGATATCATTTAACCATGTACTTTTGATCCAATTGACGTCACATGGATAATTGTCATTATGCTGATATCCCGAGACGTAAATCAAAGATCCTACTGTCATAGCATGCTTTATAATTTATTCCAATTGTATGTTAGATTAAATGCATTACCAATACTTCCATAATTCTAAGAAAAAAAAATAATCAAATAAAAAAGGCTCAATCGCAAAGTTTCACGTCAATACGGATGATCGGCAGGTGATTTAATTGTGAATTGGTTCCTTCTCCATTTTCGTACTATCCATTGATAATTTTGCATCCCTTCCATATAACAAAAAAAAACGTAAAATAAGAATTTAAAAGATAGAAATAATAAAAACTAAAAATGAAACGCAATAATAAAAAATAATAATACCGCGTCTACTTCCGAAGAAAGACAACCTGAAATATTATGCTAAAAATAATTGCTGCAAGCATGCTGCAGTGTTGCCAAATGACCTTGCCTTGAAATGACACCATAAGACCCTCAAATGACCTCATTTTTATTATACATTTCAAATCTAAATTATCAAGGTCATTTAAAAAATAGTAAATAACCTTACAACTGGCCTGCCTGCTGTTGATCCAATCCGCCTGATGAAAATATTAAATCAATACATATGCATTCTGACTAAAAAGAATTACCTAATAAAAAAAATCATAGTAATAATTAAATGAAATAATCAAAAAAACTATTATTGTTTAAGAAACAGAGAAAAGAATTGGTATATCGAATCGTTCGAGATCAAACCCTTAACTTAAAAATAACCAACAAAATCAACGTATTCATCTGTTACATTCTTAATCTTACCGATCCAACGAGGATCCTGAATAAAAAGCCTGAAGCGATCGTAAAAAGAAATAATCTTATTTGTCCACTGGCCACTTAATATCCTTCGGCCTATATATTTAATCAAAATATTGCCTAAAAATGAAGGTTTCGCCAAGGGTAAAAAGAATGTTTACAAGTTTTAATGCCTTCATTGTAGCGAAAACTTTAGATAATTTCAAAATATTTGTTTTGGTTATATATGCAGTTGAAACGGAATCCTATCTCCCTTATGTATTCATTAGAAAAATCATTGAGAAATGATTGTTATAATCAACATTAAAATAAATAATTTCTATTGCATATTTTATTAAATTATTAAATGAAAATTGAGATATTACATGTTTGTATTATATTTACTTTGTAAAAAAGCATGACAAAATTAGTTATTTGGGCCAGGTACGAATAACCAAATCACCATTCTGATTGATTTTAGGTTGTTGATTTATTATTTAATTTAAAGTTAAGTAAAATGAAAATAAAAGAATTTATAGAAAAGAAGCAAATATTATTTTAAAAAAATTCATGATTTATCTGTTAGAATAAAAGCATCTGCTACGTGTCACAAAATTAAATAACAAGTCTGTGTAACATATTTTTAAACCATAAATATAAAAGCATTTTTGTGTGAACTAATTTATTCAGTCTCCCCCATTAAATTCGATGAATCCAGTAATAATAATAGAGGTCAGGCTCTTGCATTTTTGCTGCGAAGCATTTTTTTTTTTTAAGAAATAAGTACTTTTTATTTCAGATCATTCAATCAAGCTCATTAAAAACGCAATGCCAATATACTCATCTTTCATCTTTTTATTAGAGGTTTGGAATTTGATTCATTAATTACAAATACGGTTGAATCACTTATATTATTAAGTGAACAAGAAAGTTGATTACTTTTCCAGAATGAAATATTAAATGCTGATGCGCAAAACTAAATTATAATTAGTAAAAGTCTGAACCATTTTTCATATCTGTAAGATAATGATTGCAGTATATCAATGAGAAATGATGTTGAGATTTTATATTTTTATACTAACTGACCTAACCTCAATACCTATTCACGTGAAGTACTCTAATCATTACCTACACCCTACTCAACTCCTTGTCTTAATACCTGTCAATACTAGGTTGAATATTTGTACAATTCTCAGATAAGAGACAAAAACGCTTCGTTTTTTATTCTTGAGACAAATGGAAAAATATCTTATATATAGAAATAATCAAATCGATTAATTTAGATTATAATAATTTTTGGCGCAACTACTAAAACTAAGAAATTAGGCGACGATGTTATCCAAAATGGATGCGGACCATAAGCTTCAAGAAAAGATAAAAAGTTAAAGTCAATATCGAACTTTTCAGATGAATTTACTTTGTTCTATCTTTGGTTTTAGGGTTACCGATTATTTCTTTTCATGATTCAATCAAAACAGATGCATAATTGTGTACACTTGATCAAAGATTTTAAATTCACCTTTAGTAACAATTATGAAGCCTAACTAATTATTGCTCTTTTCGGATTGATATAGTAGATCATATTGTATTTAATAAAGTATTTTACCTTTCTTTACTGACGCAATCGAAAAATCTATATTAAACATTAGTTAACAATTTCTTTAATACTGATGTGGGGGGGGGGGGGGGACAAAGTCCTGCGTAAAACCGCTATCTCTAGATATATCAAGGACATTTTGATTTGACATGAATATAATACTTTGAACAAATATTATATTTTTCTATGATTTTATTTTTATTTGGAAAGTATCTCATAAATTGTAGTTCTCTAATGTTCATAATTTAAATTTGAAAAGATTGTTCGTAAGTTATGAATTTGCCAAAGCTCACATAAAATTTAGAGAAAATCATAGTTATATAATATCATCATAAGCTTTAGATCTATTATAGTGAGAATAGGCAAATTCTCATATTAGTTTCTTTATTAGAAAAATTATATATAATAAAATCCACAAAGAAAGACGTAAAAAAAGCAACATTGTTGACTGAAATTTGCGAATTTTGAATTTCTTTTATCGATGTTTGACAAAATCAATCTGTTAGATTTGATCAAATATTATCCTAGACTATATTAAACTAAGAAGTTTTCGCTGCACTTCTGCTTGCATCGTATAATTCTCGTTGAAGGGGGTTACCTATCGAATCTAGATGACGTCTCCAATTTTTCGAACGATTTCAACGCCTAAAATTAACAATAACGATAAGTTATTGTTGGAATCCTTAATTGTATAAAATTCATGGATATGATTAGTTATTTACAAATATTTTCTTCTTAAAGAATCTTGAAAGATTCCCAATAATATCAACGCTACTTCACCCAGTGCGGGACTATAAAAATGATTTATTAAACAAAATATGCATTGCGTCATCATCATCAAAATCGAGGAAGAACGTTAACAGTTGTATGTACTGCATCACAAAGCGCTTTCTTTCAATGATACATTTATCTTATTTGCCACTTCAGCTCTCGGGTGTCCTTATGAGCGTTTCTTTGTTCAAGAAACATTTCAGGTATTTCTACTAACGCTTCGCTTAAGTTTTAGTTGTAGCTTTTCGGAAACGGAGAAGAGCGGTCACGGTCAGTGTTGGACATTTTTCTGATTGGACATAATAACTTATATATGTCCAATGTGACTGGTCATCATATACTGTATGTCACAGTTCACAGTAGGCTATCTACTGTACGCCAGGATAAATTAATTTAACGTAAAAATTTGTTCAGCTTTTAAAACCAGCCTTTTTATTCTACAAATGTCGATAATAATCGAGTGCAACGTTCTAAGTGATAATTACATATTATAAAATAAAAAGAAATAGAAGGTGGGGAGGGTTAGACCAGATTCGATCGAAATAGTCTGACATCCAAACAGATGCCATCCGAAAGGTATTATTCTGCTAAAGCTTACTCTCGAGCTTCATAGAAAGTGGCACATAGCTTTACACAGTCTCAAGTGGAAAATCCCACCAAGAGATGTTACCAAGAACTTAGGATTTGACAATACTTTTACTGTACCACAGTCTCAAGAGGATAATCCCACCAAGAGACACTACCAAGAAGAACTAGAACATGATAATGTTCTTACTGTGCTCCCCTAGACCCACAAAGTTAATAAATGACCAATTCAAATGACAGCCAATTAAATTAATAGCACGATACCTCAGTTGATTGTCATTCAAAGATTCATGGTAACAACATATACTAGTATACATTTTGTCTACAATAAAGAAGAAATTTGTATTTTTACCGTACCCAAGTAATAATAGAAAAAATTTATCCTTTGAGATGGGATGACTTCAAGCACGAAAAGACGTGTTGGTTGACAATGAGATTTGAAATTTTGCAAATGCGAGTGTAAAAATCCGAAAATTGTATTAAGTTATAAATTATTTAAAAAAAGCTTCAAATAAATATATAAGAATTATTTACATATATATCTTTATTAATAAAATCACATGGTACATATAACGTGAGATGACCGACGAAATACAGTATACACTGACCGATCGACGTAAATGATATAAAATGACAGATAACCAGTTTTTATCTTGAACAACATACGTACAGTAGTTCGGAATATAACTATATAATGTTAAATTATATCAAGAAGAACTGTTGAGGATGATGCATCAGAATCAAAAGTTGCTGAAATATAGAGATATCGAAAAATTATATAAAGACGGAACAAAAAAAAAATTCTTTTATTTACTTCGGCTAAAGTAATAAATTTATCTTTAATTAATTTCTGAAATGAATGTATAGGTGGACAACTGGAAGCTTCATTTATCAAGCTTTATTGTAACTTCACAATTTTATTCTGCATGTATTTTGTCTATTAATAATGATAATGAAGTTGACAGGTACAACTGTTGCTTAAATGTTGCTGGCTGTTTTTTTTTTTAATTTTCAATATTTTAATTAAATCTTTCTTTTAATGGTAACAAATTTTGAAAGCTATTAAAAAAGGGAGTTATCAAATAAATAATCTAATCAAGATTTGATTGTTTATCACGTCACTTGGAAACATGAAAAGTAAGAAAAGATTGTTGACTACGGATTATAACATTTGTGATTTAATCTTGTTGGTTATTATCCTAGATTAGTGCTTTTCGACGCTACAAATTTATTGAAGTGCTACAAATGAAGTTGAAGCACAAACGTTAACATAAGTATGCAAATTCAGGTTAAGGAAGCGAAAGTGAGGTGCTGTTGTAGACTTATTTAAAGCTTAAGTGCAAAACTAATACAGTAAGTATATACACGAATTGTTAATTTTTTTTTTTAGAAAATTTTCTAATTTATATTAGTATTCATACGCTTGATCACGGTAAAGTATAAGAGTGTTATAGAAACGAAATAAGTTGAAAGGTAAAAATAGAACTTTGTTTATTATACAGTAGATAAACCAAGAATTCTACTACAGATACAGTAATGTCCTAGGCACATAAAAGTCATCCGCTCTATTATTTCTCGTTATACAATTAATACTAAAAGTATAAAAATGTAAATTAATTAAACTAGAATGATAAAGAAATGTATAATAGCAATATAGATGGCTATGGTAGAAAAGTACGAAGTTGATATGGGTATTGTCACAGTTGCCGCAGTATTGCGGAGGCGTAATAAATTGCGAGAGGGTATATAATTAGCAGGATCAACTATCAAAATCTGGAATCGTGATTTGTTTTTTGTTTTTTCCGTAAATGGACCACAGTCAATTATTTTCTAGAAAACTTTAAAATTTAAATAGTCTAATGATAAATAATGTTGTTAATATAAAATTCTTTGTTAAAATTTCTATAAATATGATAAATGTTATTCTTTTTTTGGTAAATTAGGATTTAACTGTAATGGAATAACCAATCCAACTATTAATGCCATAGAGTCGACAAATTTGTGAATGCTATTTACAAATGACTGAGCACAATGTCTGAGCCGTTTCATATCCAAATGTATATAATATCAGAAAATTACGAAGTTCCCCAGAAAACTCTACAAAAAAAAAGTTTCAAATTTTTAGCTAAAAGGTATTTTAAAGAGAAATTATAATTACGGATAATTATCATTATATATATACATAAACATTTACAAACTTATTTTGTTTATTATTAATAAAGCTATAAATTTAAAATTAAAATCACGATTCGTACAGATTGAAAAAGGCATAATGATTTACTAAGTTAACTCCAGAAATTGCCGGAGTTTGTAATCCAAAAATAAATTACGGTAATTATTGAATGAATACTATTGTACCTAAGAAATGAAAACACATATTGACGCAGCATGATTTTTCGAGCAAATTTCAAGGAAATAAATAGCATCTTGATAAATTCTTTGAATTTGGTAGCTGCGTTTATAAATACTCTTTTTTCCTATTCTCTCGAAATAGAACTTTGAGATTTATATTAATATGTTACGTTAAAACTTTCTGACAAAACCTTGAGGTTTCGACAGGCGGCAAAATCGAAATTTATTTTGACGTTTTTGGCAAAATTTTTTTTAAATGCAAACCGCGAAAGTTTCGATGAGAGGTAAAGTTTCAACAATGCAAATGTTTCGACGGGAAGTTTACTCATGAGAAATTTTAATAGTAAATTTCAATTGTCTTAATTTCGGGCACATATAATAAATATAATAAGAACTTTTGAAAGTCTAGAAAATTTAAAGCTCTATTACTAACATGTTAAAAAGCAGTAATTTTGCAAATTTAATAATATTAAAACCTTTAATCACAAATCGGCAAAATTTTTGAAACCGTTGAAATTGTCGAAATTCATCGAAACTGTATAAATTATTTTTGAAAAGTTTTGACTTTATCAAAATAGGATTAAGGTATAACCCGAGCTAGTTATTTTTGAAAAAACTTAGCAGATAAATTAATAAATGTATATATATGGTAAGCAATAGAAATAAAGCAGAGTTAGATATGAAAATTAGCAACAAATTTTAAAAAATTTTAGATTGAAAATAGTTTTGGTTTAATACTATTCCTATTACTCGCTAATTATTTTCTTACCATATAGCTTCATAATAGCGTTATTTTTTGTTTCACGCGCCCGTTTTTAGTTTTTAATGCATACAATTATGATTTTTATTAACTTAGAAAATAATTGAAAACCAAATTATTATATGTACAGTATATAACTTTATGAATAAAAATTTATGGTGTCTTGTGATGAAATTAATTGTATCTTCAAGTTGGTTAATAATTAAGTTTATTTTCTATTTATAAGGATAAAGAAAAATCCTTAGATATTTATTAAGGTTCTCTCTACGCGGCGGCATAACATACAGGCTATTTTACACATGCGCTGATTGGAACGGTATGTTTTTTTTGTTATAATTTTCGGCTTTAGCTTTCATTTTATTTCTATTATTTAGTTTTGACCTTATAAATTATATTATAAAGTAATGCGACAGCGGTTTTTATTGGATCTTACGTTTCCTAGATATTATGACATAATAATAATTAACCTCGTAACGTAATAATAACTCGATAATTGGATCAAAGTACATGGTTTAATGATAGCTTTAATGACAATTAATCATTTTAGAATATAATTAACACTATAAAAATATGAGTATTATTATAAACAAGTTATATTTAAATTATTAAAAATATAAACTATTAAATAATCATCAAGTATATAAAAATGTAGTCTAAATATTGTTGAAATTGTTGAAATTTCTAAAGACAACCCACGATATACTTTAAAATTTATACTACGAGAATTGTTATTTCAACAATAATAGCCGTTAAAAGATTATTTGTAACCTCAATGTAGAAAAGATTCTTTTCATAATAAAATGTTAAGGTTACCAGAGATTTCCCTAACAAAATTATGATGATGTTACCAATCTTAGTAAATAACTTTATAAACTGTAAAAAAAATAACCGGAAATATTAAAACCATCAATTTTTGATATCTATATTTAAATATATCAATATTTCATTAAATTACCTCATAATTGTAATGAGCTAGAAATTTCTAATTCATGTAATTGAGAATCTTTAAATATTATAATGAATTAAAGTTAGTATTTTTTTATATTATCGAAAAATAAAATTTAGATAATACCTTCATTATTTTCATCCTTTTCAACCTTTTCAAGATATGAAGTAATAAGAGACGAATTAAAAGGTTTTGACAAATATTTAAATGCAAATGCTCTACTTGTATATACAGCATCAGGGTTCGTTTTACGTGAAATTATAATATTTGGAATATCTTTATCAGCTTCTTCAAATGCTTCTTTTATTTCTTTTCCATATTTTTTAGTCTCATAATAATTAGTAGATTTATACCAAAAATACAATATATTCATCAACTCATCGCTCGTTGGTCTTTGATTTGGATTTGCATTCATACACCTATAAGCTAATTTCTTATAAAATTCAGGAGTTCCTTTTCCAAATTCTGGACGAAGTCCATTACAAACATCTAAGGCTAAAGATAAGTCATGCTTTCTATTATAAAATGGAGAGTTTCCAGATGAATATTCAGCCATAATTACACCAAAACTGTATATATCAGAAGCTAAAGTGTATGGATCTCCATTCAAGACTTCTGGAGCGATATATGGTAATACTCCATATATTCGATCATCTGATTTTTGCTTGTCTGCTGGTCCAGATAAACCAAAATCTGAAATATAAGAATTATTATCACCTTGTAAGATATTTCCACTATGAAAATCCTCATGACAATATCCTAACTTATGTAATATTTTAAGGTCGAAAGAATTTTTAAATAATTTATAAATTTTTTCTTTCCATAAAATATTGTTAAAATTATTTGAAAGACAACTTCTCAAATTTCCATCAGGTATAAATTGTACTACCATAATAAATTCTTTGGTTTCTGGATCCTTAGTTATTCCATAAAAACCTAATGAACCACTAAAGCCACCATATAAATCCCAATGTGCTTTAAACTAGTTTTTTCAATAAAAAAATTAAGATTAGAAATATTCTATTTAATAAATATCAAATGTAAATGTAAAAATACCTCATTAAAATATTCAATCGATATATCATGTGATCCATTTAACCTTTTCAAAGCAACCTTCTTAGGCTTAGAATCTAATTTTTTCCAACTTCCATCAACTTGCTTATTAAAATATAATTTACCATCGATCCATGTTGCAGAATACACTTTGGCAAATCCTCCTTCACCAATTTCTTTCATATCTATGAATCTATTAAAAGGCACCCATTCAAGAAATCTTGGATATTTATGATTTCTTGCTTCATACATAGAATCTTTGATGAATTTATCAATATCAGAATTTCCACTAGTCCATCCTTCAATTATACACCGAGGATCACATTCTTTACACCATAATTTCTCAGAAAATGGTTTATCGCAATAAGAACAATTCTTATATGAAACATATAATTTGTGGAATTCGGATTCTATTAGGTCCTGAACTTCATTTTCATGGCTATTTACATCCAATTTTTTTTAAAAAAAAAATTCCCTGGATAAAATTGCTTAGTATATAAAAGTAAATATTACGTCCAAATCGGATCAACGGAAAAAATCTCCGAATATTGCAGATAATGTGGTCATAAACTGAGTTAGTACGTACGAAAATCATGCTGCGGAACTATATAAATCATATGATCAGTTCTAAATATTATTTTAACTTTCATAGTATTATTCTGCTAATCAAAACCTAGTTATGATAATGCTTTACTGTACTCCGCTATATTTAATAATAGACAATTGACCAATTTCAAATGCCAACTACCTAAAATAATAGCCTGATATTTCAGTTACTTGTCATTCAAAGATAGATTGTTCACTTAAATGATATAAAAATGACGGGTAACTAGTTTTTATCTTGATCAAAATAAAATTTTTTAATATTGATATAATAATAATTTGAATCATTTTCACTAAATAATTTCTATCTGAAGCATGTTACAAAAAACTTACATCAAACAAACAGAAAGAACTTTCTTTTACGTATATCAGGAAAGTATTTGAGGCAAATACTTTACAGATAATACTCTTCCGTATATTTACGAAGTATTATGCTGTAAAGCTTCGTAATATTTGCACCTTCATTAAAGTCAGTTATACAAATTATTGCGGTTGAAATTCTTCGTAGATATTACAGCTCAGTAAACCTTTGGAGTGCTTCGACTGCAGTAGATATTACAACTTCATAAATATTTGAAGTGCTTCGACTGTAGTACTTCGCATTAGAAGTATATTGTATGCCTACGGATTAATCTTTTTAAATTTGGATAAATTAAAGTTAATTTTTTCAAAAAATGTAAATAATAAAAAATTAAACCTTACATGTCGTTCAAAGTAATCTTTGAGAGCATGCAAAATTACTATCAATGATATGAACTTGAAGTTTAAAAAGTTTTTACCATTTTATTTATGCTGACAAAATTTCAACAACTCAATAATTTTCGCAACACAACGCCTCATAATAAAACTCCAAAGATTTACCCCAAAATAATCTTTGAAATACTTATATCATTAAAATATAGACCTGTGATAGGGTTGTAGACCTATAAAGTATTACGGAAACATCGATATTCAAAATAAAATATTCATAATAATTTCCTGATGTAGCTCAGAACATAGAAAATTTAAAGAAGAAATATTAAAAAATTTCCATCACTTCGTATCTTAACTAAATCCACAACAATTGCAACATAATCTCTAATAAATTCATTTATAGTACCAGAGCAGATTAAGTGATAATCATATTTTCAATTAGTCGTTAAGTTTCAAGAATTGCATTTTCTTCTAAAGGTATGCCTGAAGTAAATGAAGGCGTACTTGTATCTATTATGATTAGAGATATAAGCACTTATTAAAAATGGTTAATTAATATTTTAAACTTATTAATAGTTTTAACTCGTTTTAACATACCAATGGGCTGTAGTGACAATGAATATATCAAATAAATTACTTAAACCTGAATAAACTCACAAGGGAGTATATTATCATCAGAGGATATGATTCCTTTATCACTTCCACAAATTATACGGTGTCAACGCTACGATTGGCGCAGCAGCTGCGGAACATATCAAAATTCAAATATGTCTGCTATAGCAGACATATCAAACATGTTTTACACATCTTATATAATAGAATAATAAATAAAATAAATATAACAAATAAACCAGATAAATAAAATAAATTAGTTTTATTTGTTAAATTTATTATGTCGATTTTGTATAAATAGATCTGGAATTCAATCTAGAGAAAAACAGAGAAAATAACAAGTCGTAAAAGTTTCTCTCAAAGATTTAATTAGACTATTCCAGTTTGTGATGATAAGTCTAAAGAAAAGGCTTGTAAAATTCCTAATTAATAAAGTTGTTTATTTCATCCTCTCAATCTTCTTTGATGCGATAACTATCAACACTAGCGAATCTTTATAATTAAATTCTACATAAATTATACATCGGACGAACTAAATAAAAAGTAAAAAAGTGTTTTTTTGACTTGAAAAACGGGTTAACAACGGGAAAAATGTACAGAATTCATAGTTAGCTTTATTAAGAGTGATATGAACATTTTACCACACCACAAAAACTCGCATAATGGGGAGTGTATATGTATTTAGTGATTATTTATGGAGTATTAATGATCAATCTAATCTACCTGTATATTAAAAATTAATATGAGAATTCAGTTATAAATTGATTGATTGTTGATGTTACATAAATAACCTAATATTTAATAAATTTTTTTGGTATTTGCTTTTTTTTTTAAAAAAAATAACAAAAAAGTTACCTTTTTATAAAAGAAATATAAAGTTATAATTTATTTTACCTAATGTTATCTATACATCCTTAGTACAATGCTAAATTGAAAATTTAATTTTCCTAAATAATTTAAATAGTTATAATAAATATTAAGAGTAATTTTTTTAAAAAACATGAACTTTGAAATTGAAAATTTCATGGCTTCAAAATTAAGATTTTGGATTTTCTGCGTAAGTTTAATATATATTTTAATAAATATTCAATTAATACATTATCATTAGAAAGTATATTATAATAATTTCTTCTCTAAAACTGGCAAATTTATTTGTAAAATTTATATGTCATTATAATAGTTAATATTTAATAATAACTGTATAATAAAAATAGCTGATAAACTAAATTTAATGCCTGAAACATGATTTTAGTACCCAATATACTATTTTATAGTCATTGTTAGTTATAGATAAAACTGGTTAAAAAAGATATTATGAAAATAAAAAATTAACCAATTAAAAATTAAAGTTTTAATTTAAATATAATAAATAAGAATAAAATCAAAATAAAATGATTCATAACATAATTTAATTTAATATTGCTTCTTGATATTTTGATGTGATGCAAACCTTGTAAATATTAAAACTCATTCACTCAATAGATAACGTACTTTTATAAATAAAGGTATCTTTCATAGTTGGAACCGGCCGGTTAATAACCGGTTAAATTTAACTCAGGTCGGCACTATAAATTTGGGCAAAACTAGCGAAATTTTAATTGTATGAAAGCCATTTAACAACCTAGCAAATTTTGCTAATGTTTCACACAAGGTCCGGTTGTAGCAAAAAAATTTTAATTCTGCCCGAAAAGTAAATTTCGGCCAGAATTAACATTAAGTTATTTTAACCGGTTATTTCATAGATTAATAGCATGTAGATGTATATAAAATTTGTTATAAATTATGTAAAAAGTACAGTTTATTCTGTGGGAAGTAAAAAAATAAATAAATAAAATTTCTTGATGTATTTAGACCAGAGCTAATTAAAAATTTACAGCTTTTACCTAAAATTTTTTATTTTTATTTTTTTTAGTTAAAATGTAAAGGTGTTTCTTCTGAAATAATCCAAGTAGTAATTTATTTACCAAAAAGAAAAAATATATTTTATTATTTTATGGATTGGGTTCGAGCATTATGGACAATATATATTTTTTTTTTAGTTTATTGTTTCAATTATTTTTATTTAATATTTTTACTTTCGCTTTACGCTGTAGCAATCAAATGATTTTTACAAAAAAAAGACTTTCTTTTATTTAAACTGTATCAAAAATAAATAAAATTGTGTCTACTTTTTAAATCAATCCGATCCCTACTAAGTAATACCTTCAAGACCAAATCGTGTAAATAACCATCTGGAAGATCCATTAGAGGAGAGCCTTACGTTCTATCAGCCGACTTTTCTATCATATCTGATTTAAAAACAGATCGGGTGAACAGACCATTTCCATCGGAACAATACAGCTCTGATTGATCAATAACTTTTTTAAGAATGCATAATAGAAAAAACTATTTGAAAAATAGACTTCATATATATTCTCATAATTCTGTTACAGAGGCTAGTGCTCTGAAAGGATCGGGTTGGGTAACGACTCAGATATAAATGTTCTAACAGGACTTCTTTTTTTTTTTTTTTATCCTGTCAAATTGGTTCGGGTTAATTTTATATATTAAAGTGTACGGAAAAAACCCTCTATATCTGTTTATAAATTATATTCTAACGGGTTATATGCGGGTCATGGATCAATAAAATAGTGATCCCTAAATTCGAGTCGGGTCATTAACCGAACTTTTCATACAGAGGCAGAATGGGACAATAATAATAAGCATATTTTATATTTTGTATTTCTAATTTCTAATAAAATATTGAACCGAATTAAAAGAATTTATAAAAGTAAAACGATTTATGCTTATCCCTCTATCCTTCATTAAAATCAGAAAATATGCCGGTATCGGAAAGTTCAAAAAAAAATATTACATAGTTTAATTTATATTAAACAGAAAAAAGATGAAGCTAACATCATAACGGATTTGGTAAAACGACTTGGTTCCTATCAATACGTTTCAGGAGAATTATAATTTTTTTTTAATAAAAAAAACGAAAAAAATCTGCTTATGCGGTAACCGCAAATGAAAATATCAAAAACGTTATACAATTTCCGATACATCTTTTTTTTAATAAAATAAACACTTACAACAACTGATGATATAAAATACCATTTAAAATTAGGTACATAATGTACTATGTATAATATGAAAATTTGCTCATACTCGAATGAAAATTGATCAACAAAACAAAGTTAGTTTAGTAAAAACCTTTTGCGACAAATTATGTATGCATGAAAAATTGATCGACATGCATGCATGCATATAAAGAATCTAAAGTTTTTTTTCTTTAAAAAATAAAATTAAAATAAAAAATTAAACTCGCAACGTATTTAAAGCTTCCACATAAGAAGGTAAAAGGCATACAAATCGAGCTATCATCATCCTTCAATAATCAAACTCGTTCTTGTTAATAGAGTTACACAACAATATGGAATCACCAACCGCATGGGATATTGATGATGGACGTCATGGACGTCTTTTAAAATTTAATTCAGACGAGCTTATAGTGACTTATACAGGTGCATTTATTACATTTCATGTATGGAATCACTTATTTTGGCAGTAACTATAATTTTTTCAAATATAAAGGAAAAAGGAAAGGTCTGGGTGGAGATGAAAACTTCGTAATTCGAACAAATTTTCCAATTCCTGAACAATGTGGATTATTTTATTTTGAAGTTGACATTATAGATAAAGGGAAAAATGGGTATGTTATAAACCTTGGAATCATATATAAATATATTGTTTAAAATTTGCTGATAATTTAATTTTTCAAATTCCATAGGGAGATTGGAATCGGGTTTTGCACAAAATCAGCTAGCCTAAATAAATTGCCAGGTAATTTTACTCTTATTTTTATCAGCTTATTTGTTAAATAAAACTATTTATTGTATTAGGCTGGGAAGATAGCTCGTGGGGTTATCATGGTGATGATGGAAACACGTATTTAAACAATGATGGCAAATCATATG